AAAGAAGGAGGGGGGAGAGAAAGTTCCTGTGCACTTTGTTCAAGGTTCTGCACCTCTCTAAGCAGCTGTCACATCCGTACATTATGGTACATTGAATCTGAATGAGGCTCTCCACATCAAAACCTTGCATCCATTATGATATCATCTCCTGCTCTAAGCTGTAATGCTTATTAATTCTGCACCCATACTCTCCAAGCTTCAGCAAATGTATTCCATCAGCCTAGCATTTAATTTAATTAGTACAGCTGGGCTCTCATTCTCCTTTCTGTGTCAGAGGTATTGTCAGCACGTTCTGCTATAACACAATTACTGATTGCTTTTAGATAGGCAGAAATATGATTAGGGTATTGGGTGACTGTATCATAAGCCTTATTAGATTCATTTGAAATCTGGAGATAAATAGGAAACTTTTATTTGCAGTGTAATGAGATTATGCTTATTAGGCCAAGGCCTCACAACCTTTTGCAAAGAACATAGTGTATCACTAGGATTATACTCTGGAACCACACTTTTTGCTCACAGCATCCAAGCAATTTCTCAGCAGCTTTGAGATTTAACTGTTGTAGCCCTGTACACATTTTAGAATTGTTTTCTGGCTCAGTGGCTACCTCCTGTGATAGACTGCATGCACCTTCCACTATGTGTTTTCTTCTGCTTAAACCCAGAAATTGAGGAAAGATGTTTTGTTCAACAGAGGAAGGATGTTTGGGTGAGCCTTGGACGTGAGTGGATAAGCAAACATGCCAATGCATTAGACAGAAGAGTTTTTGCCAGTGCCAGTGGGGTGTTTTTTAAACTCTAGTTTTCCCTCAGTAGAAAGCTGCAAAAACATTTTAGGATCAGCGGTTTTCAGAAGGTAAAAATCACGGCTGTTGAGATAGTTCTGAGGTTGAATCTTAAGATAGAAATAATGAGTTCATTTTCATGTGTAAAAAACGATGGAAAGGCTGCACGTTTCATGTCACTTACAAAGAGAGTGCATTTAAATCTTAATGTATACATCACAACCTTTTGTGTTACACTAGCCTGACAAAACATATGACACAGTGTTTGAGAAGCAAGTGTTACATTTTTAAAAGTTCATTTATTATAAGGATTCAGAATTCTGATCTGGTAATTTCCCTTTAACAATCAAAGGTACAAACAACCTATCACTGACTTGGCAGGCTGTAGAAAGGCGTCCATCAGTTTTAACATTGGTGTCAAATTTAGGTTTCATTCGATTTCTGTGTAAGTTTTGCCGCAAACTCCAATGGGAGCAAGGTTAGGCTCTTACTGCATCCCTTTCCTTTCTGAGGGGCATCACCCAGCATGGAATCATTTTGTAACTTAGTGTGGCAAAACCCTGAACTTAGTTTTGTATTCCTTCTTGTATCACTTGTTCTACAGCTAAGATAAAAGAGCTGGTCATGGTGTGGGTCTCTCAGGCTAACATCAGACTCGGGGAGGAAAATGTGGATTGGAACTGTCACAGTATTTTTACTTGCACTTGTCTAGCATTGAAAGCGTGTTGCCAAGGCTGGCTTGTCTCTGTCGTTAGCAAGCTCCATGTTACATAGTTTATCTCAAACATTTGTTGTATTTTAAAACTTACATGGTACTAAGTTTGACGAGGTGAGGTGAAAGTTCTTAAAGATGACATTTCTGTATTTCTCATCTAGTTACTAAGGGAGCGTCCAGAGAGTAAAACTATTACAACAGCCCAGTGGAGTCCTGAGTTTGGTATTCTCAGCTCTGCCTCCACCAATACTTCTGCAGGCACATCGTTGTGCAGTCCTTTGTGATTCTCTAACTGGGAAATCTCATGATGTACCTACATTTTTTACTTTCGTGGAGAGGAATATGCATCAGTTTGCAATGGCTACTGATTTGCCTCAGGAGCTACGGTATGTATGCCTAAGAACAACAGCAAAAAGTTATTCTAGGGGAATGTTTCTATAATTGAGAGACCTCAGTGCTTTGGAAAAGGAGAGAGATTGTGCTCTCCATGTTTGTTATAGGCAAGCTCAGCCACAAAACAGTGGATCACAGTTACGTATCTAGGAGGAGCAGCCTCAGTAGTGCCAAGTCTATTAACAAATCAAATATTGAAAATCTTCTGTTTGCACTATGCATAAGAAACAATTTTATTACTGTATAGCTTTATAAAGGGAGATACCACTTTAAATCACATGTGTGTTGCAAGGAAGTCATTTCTCATGTAGTTTTAGGAGAGTGAATATCTAGTTTCTTTCTGCCAACTAAAAAGAACAGGAACAGCAACCTTGGTTTATACTGGCTCCAAAATGAGCAGAGATGACAAATGCCACAATTTTCCAGTATGTTGCTTCATCAAGAACATATTTTAAAGTGTGGTGTAATTGCTGTATGTGAGAATGAACTGGTGGTCCTGTTCATTTTTCCCCTGTCACTATCATCCTGATTTGCAGTGAGCAACAAGGTTATTCATATGCTCAGATTACACACATGCTTCGGTGCTCCGCTGGATCAAGGCCTAATTGACACCCTAATTGACAGGCTTAGTTGAGAGACTGAAGACTAAATTGGGCTTGGAAGCTGAAACGTGATGTATGTTTTTACCCTCAGAGGTGGTTTGTCCAGGCTGTGTTTGAGATGTGTTACCAAATAATGTGTTCCACCTTCTGCTGTAGCTTTTGTTGTGTTTCTTTTGTGGCCAGATAGAGGACTTTGGTTGCTGGGCAAAAAATCCAAATAAATATGTTAGTCTAAACTAAATGACATGTTGGATGCTAAATCGAAACAAACAATTTTGTCTTTGGTCTTTCTAAAAGAACAAGTTTGTTAAAAGAAATACTAACAGCTGTTTATTCAAAACCAGTTGATTAAATGAAAATGTAACTAATTGTTAGATGTTTGTTTCATGTAGACTCAAAGGTAGAATCACAACAGAAGTAATTAGGGTAATTATTAAGGTCTGTATTTAATTCAAACCCTGAGAGAATATTGCATATTCATTCAAGTGAGCTATATTTCCTATGAAAAAGATAGCATTTTCTCAAAGCTTTCATTTACAGGTATGTTTTAGGTAGTGTCATTTTATGTGGTATCATGTCATCTTGCTCTCTTTCTACCGTGACAGTGTTTGTTATTCAGAATGATGGCAATCAAAGGGGAAACGTTACTGGTAATTTCTGTGTGCACTTCTAACCCCCAAATATTTGTAGCAGTCATTTTCCTAAGGCATTAGAGAATTTGAAGATAGGGGCAGGAAGTTACCTTGATCTCTTAGCGGAATGTAGTGTGTGCATTGAGATATGAAAGCTAGGCAGTTTTATATACTACTGAAGAAAATGCAGTGAGACATTATTTATAGAATTACCAAAAAATGTAGGTAGTGCTTGTACCCTCTTACTGACAATGAAGAAAAATCTAGCTCTGTGTTACATGTTTTCTTCTTTTTAAGACTAGTCTTCATAAAATGCAAAGAAAATCTACAAAAGAAATGTTCATGAGCTTTATTATGGAGAGGTTCTCAAAGGGCTGTTTCGGGCTGTAAACTGAAGATGAATTTGTATCAGTGCATTTTGGGGAAAAAAAGAAAAACCAGCCTCGTGGACCCAGTTCTTACATGTTACTAATCACACAGGATGCAGAGGGGCAGGATGTCTTCCAATATTTGTTGCTGGCAGATGGCACACACCATCTTTACAGGGCAGTTGGACTGGTGTGGTCTCCTCCTGGATGGATTTAACGCTTGGCTTTAAACCCAGGTTCTTGTCTGGGTAAAGCCAGGTGTTTCTCTTGAATTCCTAAAATTCAAAATTGTGTTGTTCAGGCAGAAAATAATGTTGATTGCTAAACTAGCAAGTACCATTTTTCCCCTCGTGCTTCGATACTACTGTATCACTCAAAGAGTATGCACTTTATGTGTATTTGGTAGAAACAAACACAAATAGGATCAAAGCTCTCCCAGCCAGATTCCTTAGCCATACCACTCAAATGACAAGCTACTGGAATATTGTTAGAGAGATTGTTCAAATGGATACATTACACACTAGAATTAAAAATAGCAACAATAACATATTTTTAATTCTCTTTTTTATTTACTACAAAAATGCAGTAGCGATGATAGTAATACCTAATTAACCTAATTTACTTGTACCATAGTAGATGCGTAAGGCCTTAGTATGTAGCCGACTATTATGGTCTGATGGTGGCATGGCTTTCCAAGTTACAAAAAATTGGTGCTCTGTGGATCTGGCCAAACAACTGAATAGAGAAAAAAAGTTGATATAATCATAAAAAAATGAGTGAAGACAGGCTACATGTGGTAGCATTACAATTAGAATAATTAAAGTTCTGCATTTGTAAGTGACATCTGCACATTCGTTGTAGTTCACATTCTACCCCCTTGGACACACAAACATATATATATATATATATTTTAACAAATGCAATGGCCCTTCTTATTTTTGACCATCGAAGTGCACATTATTAAATGAGAAATAATACAGGCTCATTACTGAACTACTGGTTGTATTGAGATAATGTAGGTGTCTGCTAGAAGACAGAAAACAAGAGATTACTCACTGCTGAAACCTTTTGGCCAAATGACTGCACAAACACTGCGCTCATGTGTTAGGACTCATCATTTTGTTGCTTGTCCACATTTCCAGAAGCTAATTAGAGAAAAGATGAAGTTCCCTTTTTGTCAGTCCTCCAACTGAGTTAAAACCTTACTCTGTCCATAATACTCTTCCATCCTTCTAGCCATGTCCTAGGACAGCCAGGTAGGACTAGCTCTGCTGATGTTGATAGAAGTTTCTCATGGGGACCCTGTTTCTCCCACCCCTCCTTCCAAAAAGGCTGCACCTTTTCCACAATTAAAATTACTAGTGGCTTTATGGAAAGGTATTGTGAGAAGCTGCAGTGCAGCAGAACTGAATCCCCTCATCACCATCTTGCAAAATAGTCAGGATGTCATACAGATTTAGAGTATAATTTCCTAACCCAGCAGTCCAATACTTTGCAAATTTATATAAAACTGATTTCAGAAGAAAGGCCTCACCTGTCTTAAAGAAAGGCAGACTTGGCCTTCTCTGCCATATCATGGCACTGAATTGATATACTGTGCCATGGAGGTTTTACAAAGTTATCTATTAGATCCATTTCTAGTGGTGAAGGAGTTATTTGGTCAGATCCATAATAGAAAATGCCTTTGCCTTCAGACACTTTTGACATTCATGCACTTTACAATGGGGAGAGAAAACATGAAAACTTGCTTTAAAAAGGATGAAATTTTGTAGAATTACTGT